GATACGCTCCAAACATTAATGGGTTCTATCTTAGCCAGTACTAGGGATGCTCCGATCGATCGGCCGCCGATCGATATCGGCCGATACTCACTCTCTGCCGATCGATCGGTGCTCTCTAAAAATGCTGAAAACGAGAGCCGATCGCATGACGTAAAATGATGACGTAAAATACATGACACTTTTCACTGTGCGCGGCAAAACAAGCTCGCCAAAATGGCTTCACCAGTCTGGCAGTATTTTAAGGGTTCCGAAAATGACAAAATAGCGGTATGCAACGTGTGTGAAGCAGAAATCCTGCAGCTCCACCCGCTGTGACGGACCGGTGAGCGGAGCAACACACACAAGAGTTAGACCTTACACACTTACCTATTTTATCTACCTCTGGAACAAGCTAAACTAGTTATAAATATATGTATTCTTCACTGTCAGGTCACTCAGTCATTACTGGATCAGCGAGCTGCATGAGACGATACTGACAGGCTGTCAGGAGAGAGAGGGGGAGAGAAAAAGAGAGCGCTTCCGCTCATTTCTCCCGTGTTATTATCCAAAGTTAATGTAAACTTGAATAATGTACTTCATTTGAATGTAATAATTATGTTGGTTGTTGTTTGTGGAAGCGCCAGTGAATGAGCCCCATTAACTGAGTTTTAAACATCACTTTAAATGGAAGATCCATAGCCCCCGCCCACTCGATGGGATCGGCGATCGGTATCGGCCGATACTGATTCCGGCGATCGGCCCCAAAATTGCCGATTGGAGCATCCCTAGCCAGTACTACAGTATACACTTCCACCAAGTTTCATGAAAATCAGGCAAGCAGTTTTTCTGTCCTCCTGCTGACAAACAAAGCAATGAACTAAGAAAATGAACCAAAAACATGACCTTATGATAGTTAAGTAGTTTAACATACGCATGAAGTTAAAACAACACTTTATACTTCTCCTTTAAGCCCCAGTCAGTTGGTAAATGTAACAAAACAAGTTTAATACATTTTAAAAACGATTAAATTCAATAATTATTTGTGTACCTTTCATTAGCTCATTTTATTTTCCCTCTTTTATTTCCCCCAACATATTATTGAATGTTCTGAATGCCTATGATAAGGAGATGGGTGTGCCAATATATGTCCGGGTCAGTTATTGTTCATCGGGGTGTGTTATGTAACGTCACTGTATCAGTAAAGCAAAAGTATTTTAGCTGGCAACACATGCTAAAAAGAAAGGTAGCTAGCCAAGCACTGAAAATGTCTTTGCTTAGTTTTTTTGACATTCTAAAGAAAAAGGCGAAAAAAAAATTACACACATATACAAAATGTCATTGATAACAGAATTAAGTCTAGGTCTTATTTCCATTGTGTTCCTTGATAAAAGACACACAACTTGAAGATTAACTTAATGTTGTATATATATAGAACCTGTGTAAGTAAACCATCTAGCTAACGTTGTTGACCTAAGGCCCATAAGGAGTATTAAAAAGGGTATGAAAATAAAGGCGTTATGTTCCATTCTAATTATTTAGCAACCAGTGTAACTCATAGGTTTGTTCTAGTTCTATTTTTGAGTGATGGATTGAACATGTCTGATAGTGCCATAAACCCACACACTTTCATTCATCCCCCACAGTCAAGTGTGGGTAATGTGATACTGGGCTTCTGGAACAGACCCTTAGCAAGCAGATGGCCAGACATTCAAAATATCTGGATGCTTTTGGGACCCCAAGCAAAACCAGAGAAAAGAGGAAAATTAGGTTAAAGGCTTCACTATAGAACCACAAGAATCTTAACATGGGCTGTATATGAAATATGCTCCCAAAACATTTAAGAAAGGATAGTTTGGATTGTTTGAAATTGGGTTGTACGAGTTAGTTATCCATAGTGAGTGTATTCCCGACAGTAGAGCATTGTACTGCTGTGGAAGGAGCAGCATATTTTAGAAACCTTAAAAAATTCATTTGAAATCTACGATATTTTTAGAATGTTACCCGTTTTACCTTGCCACGTTTTCAGACCAGTTACTGAGGCCATCAGAATCTTTTGACAAAAACAGTGATCTGCGAGGTAAAATTAATGTTTTTGTCAATTCAGTGTGGAGGCTTTAAAGAGAGCATAGATAGATCCAGCTTGAGGATGGAGCTCTTTTAATGCAAGGTAAAGCGGGTAGCATTGCAGGGCTCGACAGTCACGGTTGCCAGGTTGCCATTGGCAACTATTCAGAAAAAATGTCAACCACTTCTTGGCCTTTGGTTGCCATCAGTGGCAACCACTTTTTAACATGAAGAAATAAGGACAGCAAACAGCTAAATGTGCACCCCAAAATAGATAAATGTTAATTATTTGTTGTATTAAGAGTGATATTTAATTATTGTTGTGACCAGTCGGAACCTGATACTTAAAGGGGACCTATCATGCAAAATGCACTTGTGTACATCTTTTATACATGAATATGTGTCCCCGGTGTTCCAGGGAACTCACCAAGTGTCAGAAAACACAACCCTCTCTCTTTTCCTCCATACCCAAATCTCTAAAAACGGGGCTGCAACGGATCTGATAAAAACTGATCCAGATTTGAACATTTCTCTGACGTCAGGACGGAGGAGCTGACCTATCAGGGGAATGAGAGGTGGCATGGTAACAGCATGGTAACACGACGCTCGTAACTCGGCCCCCTCCTTTGCAGGGGGGCGTGGTCAGCTGCAGCGCATGCAAAGACAGGGTGGAGGAGAGCGAAATGAGGCATGGCTAAAATGCATGATCTGTTTGGTATTTTGAAAAATAAAACGTATAAATATACCTTATATAGGTATGGCCCTACAATATATTATTGAAATATAGCATGATAGGTCCACTTTAAGTTGCACGTGCATTGGTGTGATTACGGAGCCAGAAAGCGATGCACGTTTACTCACGTGCGCGGTGCGCCGTGTGTTTATTTCACAAAAAATGGCGAAGCAAATTAAGTTGTTTGACCGTGGGGTAAAAAGTTCGGCCAACCCGTCAACATCTCAAACAAATGTTCAAAGTGGTTCAAAGTGATTCAACTGATAAAGCGCAAGGTGAACCCGAACGAAAAAGCAAAGAGGACATTTGTAAGGTCTAATATAAGGTCGAAATATATATGTACATTCTGCTCCGTTCCGTTGTGCATTCACTTCCGGTAAAAGTTCCTTCAAAATAAGAGTGCAAAACGAAACTTTACCATAGGAAAATATTGGCATACAAATATAATCACTTCTATAAAAAGGTAACACATTTGAAATATAGTTAGACATATTAAAGTTAATTTACAGCATTAATAATTAATATCTAATTCTTAACTGTGAATGGTTTTCATTTATTTAACATGGGATCAGCACAAAGGTCAAGAAAACCCACATTTGAAAGGGAGACAACAGATGACGAAACTAGTGACTTGCTCAATTCATTTGTGGATCTGTGAAGAACATGACCACAGCTGCACAACTGGTATTTTGTATACCAGCAATTGAGGGTGGACAAGTTTACTACCACTTTAGTTTCAAATAATTGTGTTAATTACTTATTGTAAAGTATTTGAACATTCTTTTGTGTCACATTTTCATTATTAAGTTGATGTATAACTGTATAGTATCTTAATTATTTAAAATATAAGGGGACTAAAAATGGCAACCGTATTTTCAGTTTTGGCAACCAAAAGCTGATGCCTGGTTGCCAGCCTGGCAACAACTTTTAAAAGTTAGCGTTGAGCCCTGCATTGTAACACTTACTACACTTAAACTGGGATTGATTTTTTTTAAGTGGGCCTTCGTTTTAGGTGTGTTTTGCTGTTGCCCCTGTCCACACCAGTACATTACTTATCTTCTGTGCTACTACTTCTGTGTATTTCTTCAAACTGGGGGTGTGTTAATCTCCATTTACTGTAATTAATACACTGACTGTGGAAAAGTACCTTATAGTACAACCCCACTTAAAACAATCCCTTTACATCTTTACAAAAAGACCACAATATGAAGGAATATTACACATGGAGAGGCTTTGATTTAGAAACATGTCTTGGCTGTTTCTCTTTTACAAAATAAACTCCAGCTATCGATCCAAACTCAACCTGTCTATGTATGATATTACAACAAAATAAGAACACTGGAGAGCTTTGTGACTCCAGAGATAGCATCATCACCAGCCATCAATGACAGAAATCCCTGAGAACAATCACATATCTGAAAGCCACTGACTGAACTCTAATGCCAAGTTTAATAAACAATGTCAAAGCAGATCACTTGTTTCCTACATCAAGCGATAAACAGGCAGCTGTGTGTGTCCAGCAGAATGCTAGCAGGTGAACAAGGCATTTGACATTTGGCTCACACACACATTCCGACATCAGCTGACAAAAGCGTGTGTGCATGGTGTGTGTGTGTGAGACCAGTGCTCTCTGTAGTCAGGAGCTACTGTATGCCCATTGTGGGGAGCAGTCTAGTCTGAGTGTGTCTGATGTTTGGCTGTAAAAACAAAACAAGTGTATGCAAATGTCCTACAAAATTATAATAAAAAAAAGATCTGCCATTTCAGACATTCAAACAATCAATTAACACTTTGTGATATGAAATACAATTTGATATTGAATGTAACAACATGCATCACACAAGGGGGCGTCTTCCTAGATATTTTATTGGTTTATTAGTCATTTTCAATGTGTTTTATGTTAAATGACCTATTCCAAAAAAAAGGAATGAGCACTAAAGTAAAGGCAAGATTTAAAATGTTACTTTTGCAGGATTCTTTGTGGAAAACTCACATTTACAGAACTACATTTGTTTTCATAATACATAATATTCGACGTTTTAATGAATGAAAAGTTAGTCGACTACAATTTACGCTGGTGGTAGAAAGCCTAAGTGGGGTAGGCAATTTAAGGGTCTTGTTTGACTAAAGAAAAGTATTTTACCCAACGAGTAACAGCTTTTATTCACGCTTATTTTGTTTGTTGTTTGTTATCCTCTTAATAAATGTACTGCCTTGAACTTACCTGTAAGGTCAATGAAGTGTGCGAATCAGCCGTCCATGATGTTCATTCAAACAGAGCCTCGCATCCACGCTTACAAGTATCTGATGGGTTCCAGCTGCTTACTTCACGATATCGTTGGTTTTCCCTTAAAACCCGGCGGAAATGTACGGGGGGAGTAACTTCTCTAAAAGTACAAACAAACTCCGGGTCCAGAAAGTGTGCTGTGCTCTCCCCTCAGTACCTTTCACTCTCGCTCAGGGCAGACAGGTCTTTCCTTCTGAGAAGCTTCAACAACAGTCAGCGGACAGCCGCGCCAAGACACACGGAGTCAGACAGGGTGGGACAGGAAATGCGAGGGTGCTGCCTTCAAAATAAAACAACAAACAATGTCGCACCTGAAACGGTAAAAATTAGGTTATGTATTTTTAAGTGGTGTCCACATCCCCCCTGTGGCACTGGCCCCCCTCCGAAAGAAGTCCATGATAACACCTTTTTTTTCTTTCTATCTTTTTCAAGAAGCAGATCATGGCACTGTTGGCACAGTATCAGGTTTATTTTGTGTCTTTGTTCCTAATTTTTGGTTCCCCTTTTGTTGTATTGCATGTATAACCATACTACTGTAATGCCCAAGTACCTCAAAAATGTACTTATGTACAGTACTTAAATGCATGTACTTTGTTGCTATCCACCACTGGATAATTAAGTATTATTATCATCACTGCACCTTTATGACTCAAACATGTAACCCGACTTTTATTTTGAAAATGCTGCTCAGACGTGTTCCGTTACATCTGCTGGCTTTACTGTCCTCTGTGTGACCGGTTCAGACAGTGTGCTCCAGTTTCTAGGTGGTAGGTCTACTCAGGATTCATTGTGGAGACATTAACGTTATAACAACTCATTATAATACATAACTCTATTATGGTGGTCACAGTGTAAAGTGCTCTTCAACTGTACACATAATAAACAATGGATACTGTTTAATAGTATTTCTGATCAGTCTGTTTTCCCCTGCCAGTATGGATGATTGACGACATGTCAAATTCTGATGATCATGATGTTTTTTTAACAACCAAATCAGAGAACATACTGATTTAATTCCATACAGCACACTGCATGCTGTTTTAACTGAAGCCATTTCCCATTGATAGTTATTGTTTACTTATGTGGCAAACAGATACAAATATATGTTATTTTTGTTTTATTTGACTGACTTACTTCAGCTTTCAAATCCTTGGAGATGAAAATGAATGACTTCAGACCTCCTCCTTGTCTAGTTTAGCAGAATGACTTGAGGCTGCCCTCTGCTGGTCAATGCAAGTACATATATTTGTACAGTTTACACAGACACAAGGGTAAAAAAACATATATTTTACAAATTAATTAAACAACAAAAAAACGTGAAAACAGCCCGGGTATTCATTTAGACCTACCTTTACTACACACCCACTAGCTACTTTATTAGGTACACCAGTACAATTTAGTGTAACTCAATATAAATGCCAGTCTACTATATTATTCCCATAATATTCAGGGTTCTGTATTTCACTTTCATAGAGATGTTTGACCAAGGACACAGTTAGCTTCATTCTGACCTCTGTTTTTGTGCTAATGTATATATCCTCATGTCAGTCAGGGGTGGACAATCCCACAGTCTGATATGTAGATATAACATTGTATGGGAGTTTTTGGCAGTGGTGAAATGCAACATTGTAATCAGGGTTGGGAGGGTTACTTTGTAAATGTAATCAGTTACTGATTACTGAATACATGGCTCTGAAAGTAATCCGAATACAGTTACAGTTACGTGTTTTAAAAAAGTAACGTAATCAGATTACTTTTAGATTACTTTTGGATTACTTTCTTTTTCCATCACAGATGGGTATGTTTTGGTGAACAGGAGACACAAAAAGCAAAAGGAAACTGAACGTGTTTTTACTGTTTTAATGGCTTATCAAGAGCACAACTGAAACATAACATCTGAAACGATGTAACAACATAATACACTTTTTGGGGATGTAGCTTGGGATGTGAGGAGTGAGGGACACGGCTTAGAATGGGCGTGTCGCCTTCTGTTTAGAAATTAAAATCAATGTTTATATGGCGTAATTTGAATGAAATACACTGTATTTAATTTAAATCTGTTTTATTCTAAAAACCGGAGATTCACACGTGACTTCCGGTTTTCCGCTGGTGAATTTCGTCATTTCCGGTTAGCATTAGCATGTGGCGAAATGCTACGTTTTCAAACCGTGAATTGAAGGTGAAATAACGTGATGTTGTACACTAAACACCCTGGGTTTAACACTCATTTATTGACGCTGGAATTAGGTTTATTAGGGAATGTTTAAATGACCACAGACATCAGAGTGATGTAATTCAGCAGCAGAAACCGACTGGATTTGCATTGGACACGCCCCCGTCAACGCCGGCCAATAGGAGAAGACTACAGTTGTTACCCGGGAGACACAAGAAGGATCTGTCTCTTTCCTTGCCCCCAGCTGACCCAGCGCGGACGGGACCAAACAGCTGGCAGGGGGGAACCACCAACGCGCACATTTCATTTGTATACCACTGCATCTTTTGTGTAATTAAATGCTGTTAACTTTTATAAGCTTGCCTTGACTCTTTTCAGTCTCTCCTGCTCTCGGGGTTCAAGAACCACTAATACCTGCCAGTGAAATCTCTGCGGCACCAGGAGGCAGCGGGAGGGTTAACTCAGCCTCTGAGAAGAGGAGCGCGCAGAGCCTTCACTAGCCTCGTCTCAATACCCCTCCTCGACTCCTCCTTTCCCTCACTCGCGTCCCTTCCTTGCGTCTTAGCTCCGCCTCCGTAAGATGCGAGCGAGAGACACGAGGAGGTGACGCGAGGACAGAGGAGTCCTCAGGTATTAATTGGGATGTCCTCGTTCACTCAAACGTCACTCTTAAACGACGTCTGTTAATGATGACATGTGCACAGCTGTATCCCCTCTCATTGGGTTTAACTGAATAACCCCTTAGAACCGGCCTATTTATTGTTAAATATGTATTTAAATTATGAATCTTTCTCTTTTTAGTCAAGGAATTCAATGTATGATGGTTGGTCCTGCTTTTGTGTTCCGTTTTGGTGTAAAATGCACATTTCAATAAAATTATAATTATAATAATGTGAAAGCCTTTACTCGGAAAATGTGTGTCCTGTAGATCCCCACATTCACCAGAAACCAACATTCAGGACTGTGAATTTTAAATAATTTAACTCCTGAATATCTTAACACAAAACAAAACAAATAATTTTTATTTATCAAGATCTAGCCATTTATGAAATAGCTTTCTTAATAGCTATGTTTTAGTGACGTTCAAGATCATTAAACATGACTTAAATTGTAGTATAACCTTAAGAAATGAATTGCACATAATAATTCCCACGGAGCTGTGAGCACTTATACATTTATGTGACGCTTTTCCACTCATTCTTCCAGTTCTCCGTTTTCCTGTGTTGAAATTGACCAGCTGTGAAGGTGGGGGCGGGGCTTTTATACGCGAGTAGTGAAAACACTTCCGCGTAGTCTGCTCTCGTGTATCCTCCATGGATGTATAATAAGAACTGGATACAGCGTGGGAGGCGGGGCCTCATTCATTCCTATGAGAGTTGCTCATTCGCGCATGATGATAAAATGGCCCAACTTTTGAGAGAGCGAAACGTCACAGATTACCCGGCATGCCTGAGAAGTACCCGTATGTGCGCTCATAGCGCATGCGCAACTTTAACCATGCCCCCCAAAATGCTCGTTCACATCAAGCACGTCAATTTGCGTACACGTAACAGCACCGCACGTTCATGACAGCATGGTAATGTTTGTTATGATAGATTTGATATTAACGAGGCGGCAGTTAGCAGCTAGCGGTTAGCTAGTAATTATGCTAATTTACACATCAATCGTTATGTACTTTTATATTACGCTGTAACAGGATCTAGTGATATCCAAGCAACAGAGCTTCATTTAGCATGAAAGAATTATTGCACTGTATATATATATATATATATATATATATATATATATATATATATATATATATATATATATATATATATATATATATATATATACACAGTGCAATAAGCTTCTTAGTGCAATAAGAAGCTACAGGGACGTTAATCTACATCGGTAATATTAACTTTATTTAATACAACATTTACGGTACAAGATTTAATCATACAGCCCATGTAGTATAATATTTTACAAATGATGAATTACAGCAAACATGTGCAATATATCCATTATTACAGCTCCGTGGGCTGGCAGTAAGGCGATATGGGTCCGTTCTTATTGTGCATCCATGGGTAAAGATAAACGCATGTAGTGCTGAACACGTAACATGAACGTGCCGGGCGGCGCGGTCCCGTGGGTTAGATGCGCGTTCATAATGCCGAGGGAACTAACTCTCAGAATAACGTTATTAGCACATTTTACAACTTGAGGAACGAATGTTTTTAATAAGGGCTATACAAGTGTTCATACAATTTAGTTTAAAAAAAATTATCCAACGATTTACAGACCACTCTTTCCCCATGTAAGTCAATGGGAAAAAGTGTTTCCGGGCCTGGCAACCAAAAGGAAGTGTAGTACCGCCGTTTGGCCAGCACGAATATTTTCATCAGAGTCCGGCGCACGTCCTGGGGGCTTGGTATCCTCCCTTTCGTCTCCTCCCGCACCCCTCCTCCCTCACCCCTCCTCGACTCCTCCGTGTGCATTTCAGCTATTGGGACGTCCTTCAAAATGGCGTGTCTTGATCGATTTCCGGGTCAAGTCCCGGAGGAGGGGAAGAGAGGAGTCGAGGAGGGGGCTGCGTTTCACTTCGGTTAAATGGATTCCTTGCGTCCCTCACTTGCGTCGTTTCCCTGCGATTAGTCCCTCCCACCAGGGAAGCATGGAGAGACGCAAGGAAACCACGAGAAGCAGGGAAATGAGTTTTAAGAGCAATGGGACGTCCTTTCCTCCGGAGCGTCACGTGAAGCGACGTCCGTTTGTGATGACGCCGCACAGCTGTTCGTCTGACAGCAACCAGCTCTTCACACACACCCCCGCCTCTGTTAGTACACATTTACTGACACAAACATTTGTATCATCTGTTGTAGACCCAAATAAATAAAATAAAATAAGAACTCATTCTCAAAAAAGATAAACGCCATTCTTAAAACATTAGTTAGATTAATATTGATTAGAGTGCACAATAGAAATAAAATAATTCAGAGAAGAAAAAGAGATATGTTATCTATCAAAACC